CCCCCCCCCCCTTTTCACTCTCAGAAATGCTGCGATGGTGACGATTCTTCTGTAGAGAGAGGCAGGCGGTTCAACCCCCGCTCGCTTCCGAGGCTGGCTGTCGGCTGTCGGCTTTGTCCTGTCACACCTACGTTAGGGACACCGTTTTCTTGTCTTTAACATACGCAATTTATTTATTTTAAAAAAAACGGCAAATTTACGGACAATTTACGATGAAAGCGGCTGTCTCTAATTTGTCGTAGTGTTAAAGTATAATTTGGCGTACTTTCGTGATAAATACTAATCATATCTAGGAATGCACTCAGCCTCAACGACCCAGCATCCATAAGATTCTTTCTTGCCAGCCATGAATCTAGCCCTATAATGTCCATAAGGCATAACTGGAAATTTTGGAAATACCCAGGGCACTGAAACATTGTTGAGCTCGTAGAATCCCTGTAAATAAGAGTTAACAGAGACAGTGATTTTCTGCCATTAATTTTTTTTTTAACGCCGCACTAATCTGTACCACTCTTTGCTACAGAAGTGGAAAGAATAGTACCAACTACTTACCGGCACAATTTTGCACTCTACATCTTTGTCTTCTTTTTCCTTCTTAAAAAATTTATGGTAAATAAAAGGGAGATGATCTTTGACATTCTGGCATCCCCTTTTTTTAATATCAAAGACAAAGCTGTTTTCTTTCCACTGATTATTTGACATCACATCCAGCCAAAGCTTCGCCTGTTGAAATAGATATATTTTGCAAGAACAAGACAGTCGTTGTCACAATTTTTCTTCTGTTTTGAGTGCACACTGTACAATGTTGTTCCTTAACAAGAATTTGTTGTTAACAAATTTTTGCTTTGTTGTTAACAAATTGTTAACAGTCGATTCCACCTATCGACTCAAGCCTATCGAACAGAGCGACACGGTCTTTTTTTTCGCGTGGTACAAAACAAGGACAAATAGGCCAACGGGACAGGCCAACCTGTATGTTTTCCGTTGTTAATACTTCCCAATCCTTCCATTTCTCAGTAGAATAGGCTGCAATAGCAGTGCCTTACCCAACAGCTGTTGTCGTATGTAGAATTAGCAGCTATTACATTTCCGGTTACACGTTGTATCTCCTTTGGTCTCAGTGGGTTAAAGTGAGTCACTCGCAAGTTCCATTTCCACGTCCATATGTCGTTCCATGGATCGCAGTTATAGAGGCGATCGACGTGAACTATGTACGGACCCTAAAGAACAGAGCGCAAAACAAGGGACTGTCGTGAAACAGAACTGAGAGGGCTAAGTAGAAGGAGGCTAAATGGACGACGTATATGTCAGTGACAAACACGTGCACTACTTACTGCAAAAGAATTGATCACTCCTCCGTTAGCGCACAGCTGGCTTGTAAGTGCGACGGCCACTAGCTGTAGTAACAACGCGGACCATCGGAATCCCACAGGTGCATAAGCGGCACGAGATGCAGAATGTTCCACCTGTACAAGATGTGCCGTGGAGCCTATAGGCCGAGGCCAACGGTGCAGGCCACGGGCGGCGGTCATAGGAAGCCGGCGAGCTGAAGCCCCAAAGCTCAAGTTGTGTTCTGGGCTCCACTAGCGAGCCTCAACGGCACTATGAGCTGCCATGCCGCAAGGCCACCAAATACCAAATAATTATAGGCACGCTTACTCCAAAAGAATAGGGGGGGGGGGGGAATGTACAGTTTTCAGCTGCCACATCACTGTAAAAACAAAGGTGCGAAACCCTACCTTTAAAAGACACTAACAAAGTTTCGTGCCATAAGTTTAGTGCCTTTGGAAAGGCACGAAACTTTAGTAGTGCCCCAGGAAAGGCACTAAACTGCGCCCTTGACTTTAGGGCCTCGGGAAAGGTGTTGTTTAGTGCCTTTGTTTTACCAGTGCTTGACCATTTATGTGTTTATTTTCTGACACGACACACGCCATGGTTTCATGGGTAAACAAAACAGTTTCTTTTAAAATGGATCTTTCTTTCTGAACTTTTGATCCACGTTTGTTGTGTAACCAGTGGCGTCAAAAGTGAGGTTTGGGAGGGGGCCGAGCCCCCCTTTTTGGGGCTAAGCACCAGCTGCGAAGTAGTAAAACGATATGAAGAACACTAACGCACTAATGCTATCGATGCATGCGCACCAATATTTAAGTTTTAAAATCATAGGAGTCCTGGAAATGTATCAGATAAAGAACTATGGTCAAAGAAAGTCTTCAGCTGCAGCGTGGAAGCGGGTATCGCGCTCTCTGAGAGCAGAATATTCATTTAATGTCTCTAAAGAAGGGTGTGTTTGCTCTATAGAGGTGAATTCTTCGGGTAAAGAGTCGCTGCGTCGCTTTACATTTTGTTAAAGCAGCACAATATTAATTGAACGATTTCTTCTCACTTAACTCCTATGCATTTTGTTGTGCATGAACATAGAATGATAAGCAGCCATATAAGCCGCAAGCCAAGTGGTTTTCTTGAATTTCTTCCTGAGAGGGTGACATCAACCGGCCACCATTTTCAACACGCGGGGTGCCAGGTACAATTCCTGCTGCAAGTATGCACCACCGACAGTTCATCCGAGTACACCCCGCCGCATCTCGCCAGTGAGGCGGCAGTCGGCGCGGTGCGGGTCGATGCCGCCCGGCCTTTCACCTTTCACCCCTCGGACCCCGGACGCCCATACCGATTGCGATCGCCTGCCCGCCCATCGACGCGTGTGTGATATCGGAAACTGATGAGCGCAGAGAAGTTGATCTCACGCCACACAATGGGCCGGTGTAACATTGCACAATGCCACACACGAAAGCACCTGGCATTACGTTTGCTTTGTTTTCCAAATACGCATATATCTGCGATTCTGAAGAACTCCGATAACCAAAATAAATCTTCAGCACAGATAAAGCAACAAACACTGTAGATGAAATGCAGGAGGCTTATGCACTGTTAAAAAAAATTGAGTTTTTGATGTAATGTTTGAAAGCAACAAATGTTGTTAAAAAAAAAACAACACATGTTGTAATCCAACAACATTCACCAAATTTTCTGAAACAAATTTTTATTTCAAAACAGTGGTTAATTGCTTCCGCCTGCACCAAAAATTTGTAATAACGCAAACTTGTTCGTTCTGTAACGATACATCTTGCTATCAAAATTTACAACGGTTTTGTTGTTGTGCTACAACATGGTGAAAAGTAGGAATTATGTTATGGGACCACTACGGGCAAAAAAGAAGGAATTTTGAATTTTGCCACGTGCCAATGAAAGCGAATGCTGTTTTTTGAACAGATTAGTCATTACAAAGAGTGTGATAATTTTGACAATATCTTTTATCAGCTGTGGTTGTCCGAAAATGAGCTTCACACTGCACCATATAATGCTCTCGAAGCAACAGCACTCTTGTTGCTCGTGACTAACCCCTGGCGGGGCGCGGGTGGGCCGACCCGTCAGACACCGGAGCTCGGCGGGCGCGCCTACCTCGCGGGCGCTCGCTGCGCTGCCTCGCCTGCCAGGCGTGAGTGGCGGCGCCCGCCAGGTGCCGCTTCTTTTCAATTTCTTTCGCCCCCGCATCTTGCAGCCGCAGCAGCTTCCAGTTTCGCGACTCCCGGTGTGCGCGGCGCCGTTACGTATTCGCATCAGCATAACGCGATGAGCACAACGCCGAGTCACGCCAGCGTACCCCCACTCGACCCCGTCACCTCTTAGGGGTCGTTCAAATACTACGACCCTGTTAGGAGGGGGAGGGGCGCGAATATTATGGGGTCTGAGAGTGATCAAGAACATCATTAATGATGCTTCAATTGAAGCCCGTTGGACCCCATGATATTTGTACCCGGGGTACAAATATCATGCGCTCTCTATGGACTCCACTGCTGGTCCTGATCGTTTTAAGGGCCCCATAATATTTGTACCACCACCCCTAAAAGGCACGTAGTATTTTGAACGACCTCATACCCCACCGCTCGCTACCCCACCGGTCCAGCGTCACGTGACCTGTCCCTAAACGGGGCAATAGCAGACCAAATCACGCTCCGGGCTGCTTCACTCCCCCCTTGCCCCCGTCACGTCCCATCCTCACGTTGGTCTTTTCTTCTTCCTCCTCCTCCTCCTCCTCCTCCTCCTTGGAGAGTTGTTGCCGCCGTTTCGCTACCGCTGCAGCAGCAGCTGAATAACTGCAGGGGCGAGCGGAAATAAACGATGCTGCAACAACTTGCTTCTGGCCGTCCCGGCGACGTGACTGTGCCCTCCGCGACCTCATTACCTCATCCAGACCAGTGGCCGCGATTTCCAACCGCGCTCTCCAGCCGCTCTCTCTAGTCGCTCTCTCTAGTCGCTCTCTCTAGTCGCTCTCTCTAGCCGCTCTCTCTAGCCGCTCTCTCTCGCCGCGCCCTCCAGAGCGCTCCAGAGCTGACCAATGGACCCCGAGCAGCGCATTGGCGAAAAATTCAACGCCTATGTGATCTAATTTGTCTCGTTCCGTGTGTGCTCTGCAGGTGCCGCTGAGGGAGCTGAACCTGCGCCGGCTGTGGTCCGGCATCAAGTCGTCCTCGTCGACCAACTCGTCGGCGTCGTCCTCCGGGCGGCAGCGCGCCGACTCGTCCTTCCTTGGGGCGGCGGGCGGCGGGGGCGCCTCGTCGCCGGGGGCGGAGGCGGCCGGGGGCGGCGGCGATGACGGGGACGTGCAGGAGGCGGCCCCCTCGGCGCCGCCCCCGCGCTCGCTGCCCCTGCTGCAGGTGTGGCCCTCGCAGGACAGCCCGCGCGCCGAGCACGAGGACCACGGCCAGGCCTTCGTCTTCCCCGCCGGCCTCTCCGCCGGCGTCGGACCCAAACCGCCCGGCTCCACCACCTCGTCGGCCTCGGCCACCACGCACCAGCACGACTCCGGCATCGACTCCGTCCAGGTAGGCCAAGGTCTCGCCGTCGCGTCGCCGTCTTCACCTCTGACTAGGGCGAGGAGCGAGGAGTTGATCACTTGGATATTCCTTGTACACCTGAAAAATATTCCAAAAATATTCCAGATCTTTCAATAGTATTCCCAGACATTCCACTGGATATAGTCCAGGATTCCAAAAATACTTTAGTTATTCCAAAAGTATTTTAGAATTTGAGTGGTCTACCCCTCGTACTATCGGGAACTGGAGTCCCCCCCCCCCTCCTGCCTGCCGCATTTCCCCCTCCCCCTGATCTCCCGCTGAGTGTTTTCGCCTCCCGCCCGCGAGCTTATTAACGCCGCCATATCGAACGTCTATTCCCGGTCTTGTTTGATCGGACGATGAAATTAAATGAGCTCCCGTCTACGAGGATCCTGCCCCCCCCCCTCTCTCCCCTCCTCCCTGACTGACACGGCGCGGGGCTGCCTCCGCAACGACACCGACACCGAGGAGGAGGGGAAAGGAGATGCCCCTCGCACCCCATGCTAGCCAGTCTTACTGCCGGCTCTCACCGTTTTCTCATTCATTCGTCTGTCTTTGTCACTCTCTCTCTCCCCCTCGGTCGGTAGACAGGGCAGACAGACTGTCTCCAGGGGGGGGGGGGGATGAGCGGAGCGGCATCGAACGTGGAGCACTCTACTAGGGCCGGTCGTACACCATCTGCTGGCATGACGTCCGCACACGTGTGTGTCACAGTTCTGGATGTTGCACTCTCATCAGAAAACGTTTAGTAAACGATGAGGTGAACAAGCTCCCTCGGCAGAATTCGTTGGTGATGCACTCTGTCTGCTGGTCTTATATCCCGCGAGTGCATCTCACAAACAAACTTTCTGATGATGTGACACAGACACTCGGATCACATTTTTTATTTTCCAGCATCAATAAGGCATATCGTGGTCGGGAGACTTCAAATTTTCTCATCAACTTCAGACTATTTTTTGGGGGTGGATTGACGACTTCCTGTTGTTAAATTTTGTATTTGTTTCACACTTTCTTATACCCCGTATGTATAGCGATACGCGGGGGAAGCACCAAAGATGACGGGCGGGTAAATAGACACAGGGACGGACAGACAGGCCGAACGGACAGACAGCCGGGCAGGAGGGAGGACATATCAGCTCTTCGATTGTCCAGTTCGACTGGCGGTCACGAGCCGTGGGCCCCCGCCCCCGCCCCACCACGACCACGCGCCCCATTGGCCCGATGGCCGTCGCAATGTCGAGGACGTCGACAACGTCTGTTGAGCGCCCTCTCTATCGCGGTGGCG